TTCACATTATAAGATACTCTATCAATTTTAAAAACATCGTTCTTTTATAATTAATATTTTAAGTAGAAATTTCGTTACACTTCAAACTTAACGTACAAGTGGTGTCATAAACTTTGACAACGTTGGTGATAAATAAAATAAACTGATAAAAATTGCTAATATATTGTTCATATTTCAAACATTGACAGGTTATTCTATGATCTTTTAAAACGGGCATTACACTTGTTTGTAAAAGTTGAGATTATTAAATGCGAAATACAATAAAAGAAAATAGCGGTTATTGTGTTGCTGAGATTACAAAGCTGATATTTACTGTGTCACTATAATTACAAAACTGAAATTCATTGTGTTACTGTAATTACAAAGTTGATATTTACTCAGTTACTGATGCCGTAAATAACAAACCTCTTATTTAATTCAATTTAGTCTCCGTCTTTTTGTGCAACGTGATATGCGTTCGCAAACCCTGTTTTTGACTTCTCGGTGGTACGCTACCACAACTATGACTAATAATTCGGAAAGCATTACACCCAGCTGCATTATTTAAGGCATCTCCTACGCGTTGGAATGCAGCATGTAGTGCGTGCGATACTAACAATAAGAATGAAGTGTTAAACACTAAAATTAGAAGTACTTAGTTTAAGACCGAGAGTACGTGTTCCATGTAACATTGAAACAGAATTGAGTATCTAACTAATATTATAATAAATGTTAGTTATAGTACAATATTTACAATAAAATCATTCTCGTGAATCAACGATTTTGGCTTCAATAGAAACGCATTATAATGCGTAGATGTGTTAATGCGAATGATTAATTCGTTAGAGTATTTTATTAATATTAGCATTAAACCATTGTAAAACTAAATAAAAGATATGCAGGAATCAATTAGACGTTTCTGTTTATTAAATATTCAGTTGTTTCTCCTTTATTGCTCAGAATTGTTTGATCAGACGTCCAACGCAACGGAAATTGATTTTCATTTATTAAAAGAATGTACCACTGCCGGACAAAGGTGCAATCGTACGCGATGAATTTTCACCTGTATAGAAGCTCATATATAATTAGAACCGATTATTGACATTCTGACTTGTTTACTCTATGAACAAATATTTATATAAACGTTTTTACTCGCTGAATGAATTTCTTTCTTTGCAATCACATTTCAAACGATAACGATTTATGGTAAATTTAACATTCACTGTTATTTAATAAAAATTGTACGTAAAATCGTCGAATTTTGTTGACTGAAAATGTGAATGGACTTAGGTGGAGCTATTAAAAAATAACGTTATACATATAATATATACTCAATAATATAATTTCTAAACTGAGCGAATGGGAATAAATTTATAAATTGAGAATAAATAGGAATTTCAACCGTGCATACATGGCTTCGTTTTTGAGAAAATTAAATTTCATAATTCACTAACATTTCATACTAACAATAAGTATGAAAGGAAATAACTATCGTTTTTCATAAATAAAATAATAACCTAATTATAATTTTAGTTTGCGGTATGATTTCCTTTTTATCGTGTGAAAGCATGTACGAAGTCATATGCAACAATGTACATACATATCTAAGAACAACACAATGACGTCCAGGATAATAAATCTACAAGAATAATAAAAATATTATGTAGAACACAAAAACATTTCATTTCACATTTTCGACTTACCCTCCCATATAAAAGTTCTTATCTTGATTGTGCCTATTGTTAATGTACGTACAACATTTATATTTAAATGTGCGATACTTATTCTGTAATTAATAAGTGTTATTTACTTCGTAAAATTTATTCAATTTATAAACTTATTCCCAGTTACTCAATTTCGAAATTTATTCGTATTTACTGAATTTGAAAACTTATTCATATTTACTCAACTTGGAAATGTATTTCTATTTAGTCAATTTAGAAACTTGTTCCTCTATACTCAATTTAAAAACTTATTCCTATTTACTCAAATTCGAAACGTATCCCTATTTAGTTAATTTAGAAATTTATTGATATCTACTTCATTTATGAAGCTGACCCGAGTCCATGTAAAGAACGGATGGGCAGCTTTTCTTTCAAAGAACTGATTCGAGCACGACTCGACAATGTAAAGGAATAGATATAACGAAGCGAAGTGAGACAGGTGTAGTACGTCGAGCATCAACGGCCGAGGAGGGACACCATGATTAGCAATGAATGAACGTGCGATGAAGAAAATCTGATTTTCAATAACTGTCGCATTTCTCTATAATAGTAACACAAATGGATAGCTGTAATTCTGCTGATTAAAATGAGTTCAAACACGATGTTAATCGGATTCATTTCAGCTATTCTCGAATTAATTAATAAGGAATCTACAAGGTGACTCGCGTAACATTCACGTCTCAAATAACTTTGAAATTATGCTTTTTACAAAAAATGATTAAATACATGGTTTCAGAAGTGAGTACTTCTGCTTGTATATACATAGAGAGGTTTCTCAGTTTGCAAGATCAATTAATTTGAAGTTGTTTAAGATGTGTAGGTTATGTGACTCACCCTGTATAATAATACACTTATTGACAAACGTACTAAGATTTATATCGTGTTTGGACTCATTTTAATCGGAAGAATCTCAGCTATTCATTGATGCTACAATTATAAAAGTAAGACGAAAATTTACTTCATTCAGTCGCGGCTGAATGGCTTTTCACTATAGTCATTCTTTTTCCTTTTTCACTAAGATAAGGCCTCGCTGAGTTCGAGGCAGAGTGGTGATGGTAACCACGAAAAAGCGAGGTTCTCCCACCGCACCCCATGCTCCCCGAAATCCTCTAAGAACTGAATCCCTTCCATTCCTTCGGTAAGCTAGTACGGTAGTATGTAGTGAGGTGAAGGAGATGCGTGTCGATGCGAACGCGAACGCCACCGGCCACCCCGACGCCATGGTCAGTCATGGTCATGGACGTTACGGGTTATTGTGTAAAAATCAGTGAAAACATCGACGTTAAGTGGCGTTGACACACCGATGTTGTGATTTGTTGAATATTGCGAGCTTTATTGTATTTTAAATATATATTTGTTGTAAGTAAATCATTTTATAAGAATGGACTCAGGTAAGCCAAGTTTTTAATACATTTATTTAAACAGAATGAAAACATTTATAATTTTTTAAGAGTAGAAGTTTTTGTAATAAGTTGTGTATGTTTTAAATTAGTTTTCCGAATTAAATACATAATAAATTTATGAACTATTAATTAATTTTATATTGATAGGCAGCGACAACATGAGTGCCCCTCCTGCAAAGAAGGTCTGTAAGAAGAGCAAATTTTATGACATTTGGCTGCATAATCCAGAATTTGTGTCGTGGCTTGAAAAGTGTGACAATCTGGAGAAAGCCAGGTGCAAGATTTGTGAAAAAATTATTATTGCCAACAAGACCAACTTGCATAGGCACAAAGATAGTTCCATTCATCAGCAGAATGTGCAGATCTTGCAAGAGGTAGCAGGAGAGGGTATGTCAAGAGCAGGTCTGTTCAATGATTCATTAAATGTAAAGAAAGCAGAATTACGATTTTGTTTGGACGTCGTTGAACATGACCGCAGCTTTTCTTCGTATGGACACTTTGTTACAATGCTACAAAAGGTATTGCCCGACAGTGAGATTGCAAAAAGTGTAACCCTCAAGAAAAGTAAAATGTCTGCATTAATTACAAATGTTATCAATTCGTACATACAGTCAGACACTGCTAAAAAGTTACGGAGCAACTTTTTTTCCATAATGCTGGAAGAAAGCATTGATAATGCTGACACAAAAAATTTAGTGTTTTTAGCTAGATTCGTTGAAGCAGATAAAATTTATACATCTTTGATTGATTGTATTAGGGTCAAGGAACGTGCAGCAGAACATTTATTCAAATGTTTGCAGCTCGTTTTAGAGAAACATGCGCTACCTATAAGCAACATAGTTGGTATATCCATTGATAATGCTAATATGATGGTAGGCAAACATAATTCCTTAGTTTCTCGTTTATTGAATATTAATAAGGAAATAGCAGTCTTTCCATCTGTGTGTCATTCAATACATCTGGTTGCGCATCATGCTTGTAACCATCTGCCACCATATATTGAGACATTTTTAAATAAAATGTATACATATTTCTCAAGAAGTCTACTTAGGCGAACTATGTCAAGAAAAACCCAACAGTTAATGAATATTATGCAACATAAAATAATAGAGCCATGCCCTACTAGGTGGTTAGCACTGTCAGAGTGCATTAAGGTCATTCTCCAACAGTGGACTGGCTTATTTTCAGTATTTGCAGAAGCAAATACACATAGTGATTCCAGTGAAATTGTAGTAGATATATATAACATTTTCGAAAATCGTCCTCTTATTAAAGCGTATTTACAGTTTTTAAGATCAGTGTTAGGCGAAATGGCAAAATTTAATCTCATTTTTCAATCAAATAAAATGCTACTTCATGATCTATTGCCATCAAGTAATAGATTGTTAAGATTTATGGGTGATTCTTTTATAAAACCGCATATTATAAGTACGGCGGAATTACATACAATTAATATTTATGATGAGGGTAATCTACTTGCAACAAATGAAATTATTCTTGATGATCGAACTTTGACCATTGTAAATGATATAAAAAATTCGAACAGACTTGAACAAAGTGAAATAGAAGAATTTTATATTAATATTAAACAATTTTATAAAGAAGCCTATAAAGGTATGGTAGAAAAATTACCTTTTAAGGAAAAACTTTTACAGGCATTAGATTTTTTAGATCCAAATGTAGCATTAAATCTTTCGAGTCACAGGGATCAAATGTACCGCATTTTAGATAAATTTCCTTCGAAATTTAATTCCGATGACATATTTGATGAATGGCGTAGATTAGGCTCTTATTTTGAACCTGCTAAAAAAACAGAATTATGTCAATTACAAATTCCGACATTTTGGCACAGCTTAAGAACAATAAAAGATCACGGTGGGCAATACGAGTTCCATAATATTGTTAAATTAGCAGAACTGTGCATGTCGCTACCACATTCAAGCGCTGATGTTGAAAGATTTTTTTCTTCACTTAGACACATAAGAAAAAGAAATAGAAATAAGTTAGAAACTCAGATGATCAGTGCACTCACGAGGATCAAATTGCATTTAATGAGTAGTGGTGTAAATTGTGCAAATTATGAACTGCCTCCTGACATGTTAGCATTATTTAATTATAAGATGTATGCCAAAGAACATATCCCACAAGAAGTAAATGGTGTTTTATTACCAGACGAGACTGAAAGTAGCGATAGTGACTACAGCGATGTAGTAGATATTTGTAGTTTGTAAGCATAATAATAATAATAATAGTAATAATAATAACAATAACGTGTACATTATCTCTGTATATATAATCTTTGTTTTATTAATGTATAATTATCTTTGTATACATATATGTTGTATATGTATTATACATATTTTAATGTATATATGTTTATATTAGTTACTTTGTAAATAACTTTTGTATCTATACGGCTTACA